CTACAGTGGCCGATTCTGTGACTAAGATCAATCTTAGCTTAAGGACACCCAGCCCTGTTCTCGCAAGATTTGTCCGACAGATAGGCTCTATCAGCCTTACAGGGGATGACGTGCTCTGTTCTACGGGTTGGTTCTTCTAGCGCATATCAACTGCGCCTCGAAATTCGATTGGGGGCACAATCACTGCTGCAGCTCCTGTTGGGAAGCTCACTTGAGTTAGTGTCAAGATATGGTAGGTCGGTGCCACATACACCGGTGGTAGATTCGGAGCTAAGCCCTCATCGCGCAACAACCACCACAGCCACAGCCATAAGCGCAGCTGCGGTGGCATCTAATATAACCGCAATCACAGTCAGAATTAGCCTTAAAATATCTAGTATAGATAAAGACTTAAACTAGTGGCTTTTAACAAGCAGATAGGTTTCGATGCATACACATGTATTACAAGTATGCAGTGTCCTATGCAGGTCATTTACTTTTCCAACGCGCCACCGCACTACGCATCTGACCCCGGTCTAAAAATATCTAGGGGCGTTAGTGCAATACATAAAGACTTGTGATTTGGTTATTTGGTATTCCCTAACAGCAAGATATGCTGTATTGGATGTCACTTCCGAAAATACAGCTCAACGAAGAGCATGGTTCTCAGCATTGGATTTGGTCTAGGATAGATTACATCAACTCTCTTCCTCGGAAACCATTAGCCCGACTGAACGATCCGGACAATGCATCTTCATTGGGTTTCTCGCCTATCAAGGCTGACGGGAACAATCTACATGCTATGAAGGACTAAGCAATAGCAGTGGCTGTGGCTAGTTAGAGACAACCGGGTGTTTATCCAAGGCATGTGATAGCAGTCACCCGGTTACTTCATTGCCCCAGTAAGTGGAAATGAAAAATGCTGCTCTGTAAGAGAATCGAAAGGATAGTATATGAAGAGGAGACACACAGATGATTCAGCCCATCAAATTCGGGCCGGTATAAGTACGTAGCCTGCTAATTACAGGTAATGGCTAAATAAGAATCCTTACCTCGGTTCGTAAGAGTAAGTCTAATTCATGAAATATCAGTTTAATTGCACATACCGCGTCACACAGCCCGTATAAGACCACCTAATATGCTCTGCTAAGACAATCACATCCGTGAGTTGTCCTAGCTTTCTTTCCAATTGAGGTTAGCACAAATTGAATGTGTTTCAGATCCAGCCGCCGACGGTTAAGTCGATTCGATTCATTATACCACCGTAAAGGATTCACCAAGAACAAGTTGAGAGATTCAGCACGGCAGAAGAGGAGGGTATCAAAGTTACTAACAAAAGGAAAGAGTTAAACGCACTAGCGGAAAGTATGCCTTAGGCTAAGCAGTTACGGTAATTCAAGGCAAAGAAAGACTTGCACCCTGTAAAAGCCCCTATTCAGGTCGACGAACCCGTGCTGCAAGTGATGTGTGAGACATTCGAAAGACTAGCCGAACGAGAACAGGCAGCGGGTGGAAAGTCGGGAGGACAACGATCGGCCGCCGTATATTAGCCGATAGTGCGGCGACGAGGAGGTAGAGGCGACTGTGGTCTGACATCTCGTAGGGCTGCTGAACCGCCTGTTTAAGCAGGATTTGGGTGCCAATGCTAAGAGAGAACAATGGGTCGCCATGATGCCTAGTGTTGTGTTGCAGCTCGACATAGGCTTATCATAGTGATGCAATCATTCGGGGGCTGACGTGGACGTGTCTGGATCCCGCTGTAGGACGGCGCCGTGGCATGAGATCTAGAACCTCGGTCCCTATTTTTAGGGTTTTCAATACTGAGCCACATCGATGCTATACAGCCCTATCGAGTATTGAAGGGATGTACTGCCAAGCCACCGGGCTGTTAATAGCAAGGTAAAACCGCAGAAGGGTTAAGCCTCACCAGGCTATTCCAAGAAGAGCATAGCTTAATTGAAATATATGTCTCCTCTATCAAGAATCTGGGCTAACTAGTATGTCTGAGGCATCTTGTCAATGTCATCCTCTCTCTCTGATAGGCCAGGACACAGCCGCACAGGTTTCATATAGTCGGATCGTGGAGCCTCTGGGTCTAGTTGTCATATTGTTGCTAGAGGTGTAAGTGACGTTCTTAAGATAAAAATACTCCAGTAACATTTATTCGTAAATTCAGAAGTATATATAACGATCATCAAGGTCCTAGCAAAAGTCTCAATTCTCACCAGTATCACTACTATCAATCACTTACTTAACAAAACAAATCAACTTAACCACATCTATCTTCACTTATCAGCTTAAGCCTCTCGATAAAATGCATTTCACCACCGCTGCCCTCTCTGCCCTCCTTGCCTCCGCTGCCTTGGCTGTTCCCTTCAACTGCACTCCTTACGACAACTCAGACAGCAACATCTTCCCAGACTTTGACCGCTACTCGGACTGGGCGATCTGCAAGGGCAAGATCACTAAGGACCGCTTCCCCAACCTTCAGGCTCCCAATCGTGACGGCGGCTGCGTCCGGTACTACCAGGGTATCGACATGACAGGCGTCGTCACAGAGCAACACTTCTTCTTTAAGGACGGCTTTAAGACCGCTTGCGACTGCGCTGCCAAGTGTTTAGAGGAACCTAATAAGTGCACGAACTGGGTGTGGAAGCATACCTTCATGCCAGAAGATGGTGGCAAGCGGTCGTGCACTCTGTATAGCAGTCCGAACCTGCCGACTGATGTTATGCTTAAGTATGACTTGGCGAATAGCAAGGGCTTTAATCTGTTGCAGGCTGCGAATAACCCGCAGGCTGGAGCCCCCGCGCCGTTGACTTTCCTGGACGCGGCTGGAACCATCCCTGATAAGTTTGGCGTATCTGGCTTCATGGTGCAGGATCAAAACGGCAGACAGTTCTGTTAATAGGCTTGTTATTCTATGGGGCTGTATTGGCCTTTGGATTGGCTTAAAGAAGGGGCTTAGATTGGCATGATATATTGCTTTTAATTTTATTTGTTATCTGGATATTTAGCTATATTTCCTTTATATGCTGTCAGTCCTTGATAAACTACCCTAAGTTACGAATAAGGGTAGCAGGTGCGTTTTAAAAAGGAGGCTTAGGCGACATATAGGCTCCACGAGGAAAGAATAGACAGTCCTGGTATAGAATACAAATAGAGTCACCAGCGTTTATAGATGAATTTATATAGTGGTTTTATTTATTTGATAGCTTTGCAATTCAGTATATTTCCCCATTTACCAAACAGTGCAAGCAAAGACAAACTGAGATTGTATTTGCCTTCTTGCAACGTCGTGCTATCCAAACGATTGACAAACGGAAAACAGTTGGTGATGATGGCCAATCGATCTCACTCCCTTTCAAGCTTGCGGTTGGCAATATCTTCGATAATTGTAGGGGACATTGACAATGGGGCCGAATCGTCGTCTCCATCAGCGTCGCCATTGCCATCATCGGATTAAAGTAAAACTGTGTATTTTCCGACTCTCGAGATGATGCAGTCTAAAGGATTTGGGGGCGATAGACGGGAATAAACGGAGAAGTGAATCGCTAATACTAGGTTCGAATGGACTTCCGGACTGGAGGCAGAAGGCAGCTCCTCCGCGCATGTCTGTGCTGTGTTGCTTGCGCAGTCTCAAACTTTCATTCTTCAGTGAAGCTACCTCTTCTTCACATCTTTCAAGAGCAACGCATAGTCCTATATACCCAAATAATTGTAGTAGCATTGATTTATTGTACCCCTCATTGCAGGGGGTAGACTTGAATTTCAAAAAGTCGCTAGTCAAGGGGAGTTTTGACCTTGATAGGGAGTTGTCTTGAATTTCTGATTGGTGCTTGGTTACACGTTAAAGCGCGGCAAGACTTCAAGGCAATGCGTCACCTTTGGCTCAGGCTCATCAACGTTCGTCGCCGCAAATGTGAACCATCCGGCTCCTTCTAGAACTGATTCTGACAGAGCTTAGCGCTAACCCTATATATCCTTTTATTCTTCTCCCTAAATATCGCATTCTTATATCAATCTTATAATAATCTGATGACGGTCTCTATTAGTGTCTGTTAAAGTTTCTCACTAAAAGCCAGAATACGCTAATGAAGAGAGAGGTAAGAAATCGTTGAAGCGTCATGCGTAGAGACCATTGAACGTTTTAAATCTGATTAAGCAGTGATTGATATGAAACTAATGCTATAATGCTCGTATTTAATTTTATTTAGGTTTCGGAAATCAATGGTCAAACACTGAGGCGTAAATAACACTATACCCTTATCCGTGACTTGCACCAGCGACTAATGTCCTTGCCTTTAGACACGTATGGTATTTTTGCCGGTCTCATAGAGCCAATACGATAATTAATAAACGCTATATCCCTTTTATCTATCCTATCTTCAGTAAAAGAGGAGACCTCTGCCAGGTTAGGGAGGTAATGGCAACAGCGTAATTTGCAGGGGAAGTGATATGGCGTCGATAAGTATAAGGGGGAGAGTAAAGTGAAAGAGGATTTCAGTAAAAGGGCCGAAGGTGATTGGTTAGAATAAAAGAGTTAATTAAGAGCAAAAGATGGACTACTTGGCTATTACTATAACCCTAGCCTAGAAAAAGGAGGATATAGAGCGCAAATCGCAATTAAAACGGGATTAGTAATCATTACTAGAATCACTGTACTTAGTATTACTATTTGGTCTATATTTTATATGATTATCTGTCGTAGTTAAATTTTAGCGGATTCTAATTGTATTTTCTGGCCAATACTCGAATTTAACAGATATTCACACTCCTCCCAACCCGATCCCTACTTGCACAATTGATTATTCATACATAAGCGCAGGGTATCATCTTTTGACTTAAATTCATGGTGAGTCTAAGTAAGCAAAAGTAAAGCAATAAGTATGGCCTAGTATATATTATCTTGGATATATGTTTTACTCTACTAGCTGCGCGGCGGATTCAGCTGCGAATCCATTTGAACTCCCATATAATAAAAAAGGCGCTAATGAAATAATGACCTAGATTCTGGACATCTAACAATAAGTTCTATCGAGTTGGTCGATACTGTTTTGATCTGGTTTACCAGAGTAGTAGCACTTAATAAAGCACCCAGCGAAACTACTACTTTCAACGCAGCTGTCGGCCCCAGTCTTCTCCTGCGCCTCATTAGCCAACCCTTGGCAGTCGCTTGTAGTGCAGGCACTTAGATCAAGATAATAGTGGCCATAAAGATCGTGAAGAGCGCAAAAGCCACACTGAGCTGACGCATCAGCTTCCCGCTTATTGTGGGAATGTTGGTACTGGGTCGTGCCGTTTGCGGGGGGATAACTATATTGGAGGAGGAGTGGGTGCGCGGCTAGAAGGGGGACTGTGCCGAGTATCACCGTAATACTAACAATGACACTCTTCATTGCGCCCAGTGTACGAAAGTAATACACTAGTGGAAGTAATAAAGAATGATCACGTTTATTAGATATTACAGGGACTTATTGCTTTCGTGTCTGATAAGCGAATGTCGTATGTTTGAAGTACAGATAAGAGAATAAGTTAAGTTGTTATTGATTATTCACAAGAGTGATTGTTTAGATGTGTTTGTTCTGATGGTGTCTTGTAGAGAAGCTTTCTTTATTGAGATGATTTGAAGGCCTTATATATCTTGAGAAACAAGGACAAGAACTATATATGCAGCTTAGATACTACAATAGAGAGAGCCAAGAAAGGCTGAAATAGAAACTAATAATTATAGAAAAACAAAAACCTTAAAAAGACTACATATAAGCCATAAGACAAAAACGGAATATAGTAGGCGGTGTACTAGGGCTGATGTCTGATATTAATTCCTTAAAATAGGTATAAGGAACCTTAAATATAGAAGAGTTGTATACAGGATTTGCCACATATAGAGAAGGTTTGCGCTAATTATGCAGCCACCGGAAGTGCTCGGAACATATCAAATATATGACCCTACTCTTCTATTCTTAATTGGCGTGAACCCCAAATGGTCGCGTACCCCTGTCCATTTCTTACGCATGTGTTAATATTTCCGGTCTATGTCCATATCCTTTAATGTCATACGATCGAACATTTCTTACTAGCCATGACGGAATTATGACCTTTTGTGTATCTCAAGACTTATCAAGTCTTAGTATGTCAAACATGTCGCTACAGTTGTAAATCACAATAAGGTGCCTACTCATTTACACAGCAAGCATAAAGATATAACACCAGTTACACGACGCCACAGAAAGGATGCCGTCGACAAGATTCCGGGAATTACCAAAGATCAATCATAATTGGCCTTTGAGTTCCGGTTTCCGCCACCTGATATACCCCCGATCTCAGAGCTTGATCCTCCGCAAATAGACGGACGAGCATATCCCGGGTCGTCTCTGGGCCCGAGAGTGACGGAATAGCTGGCAACCACCTCGCTTGGTCACTAGTCCGGGTGTTGTTCTGGCTGAACGTATGACTTGGGGTTAGCGAGCAGGCGATCTGATTGGGCCAGTTGATAAGTAGCACGGACTATCCCTTCGGGACGACGTTCTGCTATGACAGAGGCGCTAATTAGCCTTAAAAGATAGCTCTAGATACCCTAGGATAACCCTAAGGAAAGGTAAGGGTTATAAGTATAAAGCAAAGCCCTATTAGTAATATTACTCTAGGCAATAAGAAAAGCAAAAAAAGAAGAAAAGAATATAACCCTTAAAACCTCTAATACTATATATAAATTAAATAAATAATATATAGAAATTAATAGGTAAATAGCTTATAATAGATTTAACAACTTTATAGTATATTTCTATTTATTACTGCTAGATAATAATTTATTTATTAAATAATTAATATTAATTTAATATATTATATTAATTATTTTATATTATCTTTTATATAATACTCTTTTCTACCCTTTCTTATATATAATAAAGTTAGTAAAAAATAAGCAGCTATAGCTATTAGGCCAGATACTAATCTAGCTTTATAAATAGCTTAATACTTTACTATATCTACTTTACCTAGCTGTAATTAAGCCTAATATAAATAAAGTAGAGAATTACTATTATAACTATTATAAAGTTATAGAAAAGGAGCTTAAGGAGGTAATTATATTTATTACTTTATTTTCTTTATTAGGGTTATATTTCTAAATACTATAAGACTTAAATAATAAGGATATAGAGCTGCTACCTAATAAGAGCCTACTAATCCTAGAACTTAAGAAACTTTTAAGCTTTAGCTATAAAAGCAATTAGTATCTGATATATACTATAATAAATATAAGGATATACTAAACCTGCGCTAAATATAAGAGCCTAGCAGATGGCAATAGTTAGATTAGCAGGCTGCAGCGCAACTAGGTCCTGGTTATGCTTTAATTGCTATGCAGAGCTCTATATACGAGATACTAGATTATTGAACTAGATTAGGCCTGCCACTGTAGCAGCTGCAGCTTGAGAGAGTGCTATACTACTGTTAAGGAGTTAGGTAGAATAAAATGCAGTAGCGGTGGCAGTATTAATGCCAGACTTCTGAAGTTTGTTAGCAGCTGCAAGAAGGAGCTTAGAGAGGCTAATATAGAGCGCAGGAGGAAGGTTAAGAAACCTGGAGGTATTAATACTAAGTCTAGATAGGTATAGTTTATAAAGTAAGTAGTATACTTATAAGGGAAAGATAATCCAAAGCTTTACTAGGCCAGCTTATTGCCTAATCCTAAGATAAGCAAGATTAGAATATAAAGGTAAGAGGACTATAAAGTAAATATAAGGCTATATATACTAGCTAAAAGCTTCTGCCAGATACTAGTATAAGGGTTATAGTAGCTAAATAAAATACTAAATAAGATACTAAAGTAGCTTAAAAGTATTAACTTAATAAAGCTAGAGATAAAGTTATTTAGTTATAAGTAGGAGTTAGTATTAATAAAGCAGTGTAGTATATACTAAGAGTAGTATTTATATTATTATACCTATATCTAGCTATTAGGCTATAATAAGGCCTAGGTAGAGTATAGTATTTAGTTTATAAATAAGTAATAAGGTTATCTTGGTAATATTATTTAATAACTTAATATTATAGCTAATAAGGTTAAAAGAAAAGGAGGGGAAATAAAGGCAAGGGAAAAAGAAGCTAACCTTAATATAAATATACTTAATTAGGCTAGGTATTACTTTTATATTAATTATATTAAGTAAAAGCTAGGCTATAAGTAATATAATAATTTAATACTTTACTTTATAGCTATACTAGGTATTAAGTAAGATAATAACTAGATCTTAGTATATTTATATATTTTCTTTATAGCAAGCTTCTTATATTATAATTAGCTTTTAATAATAAAGTATTTCTTTAAAGATAACCTATATAATATAAAGGACTTAATATATAAAGCAAGTTTATAGCTATTAAGCACTTTTAAAAGATATATTATATATAGCTTATAAGTAGCTTATACTTACTATTTAATATAATTATCTAGTAGATAATATATAGCTAAGGATACTGCGCTTAGGAGGTAGGGCAGGTATAGGTATAGTAATAAGATGCTTAACTATCTAATTAATTGCATTATTATAGTTAGCTTTTAGGGGATGGCCTAGGGGGTATTGTAGGAGGCAGAGGGCTAGTTTGATAAGCTAATAAGTAGGTAGTAGTGCGAGCTGTAGTAGATAATATAGCTATAAGATATTACTATTAACTTAATATATAAGGCATTAAGGCAGTTATTTATAAGAAGCTAAAAGAATATATAACTTAAGGCTAGTATTAAAAAGTTAATAGGCTTAATAGGTAAGATATTTTAGAAGATAGTAAACTTAGGTAATAGTAAGGTATAATATATATATTATTAGCAGGTAGTTATAAAGTATCTTAGCTAGCTAAAGTTATTTTAGGTAAATATATATATAATAACTTATATTTAGAAATAGCAGCCTAGGCAGGGTCTAGAAGTAATAATACTAAAATATTATAATATTAAGTAATTATTAAAGAATATCTTTATTTTTAATAAGTAAGTAGTAATTATTATAAATTAAAATAAAAATAAGAGGCTAAATAGCAAGACTAGTAGTTATAAGGTAGCTTACTCCTTACCTAAATACCTAAGTCTAATAATAGTAATATATATTATATAGCTACTACTATTTGAAAAGGTACTATATTAGCTTTCTAGTATTTATAATTTATTTAGCATACTTAACCTATAGCTTTAGAAGTTAGTAAAGAAGGGGTTTTAGGATATGCTAATACTTAATAAGTAGCTTATGCTTATCTTAAGTATTAAGATTAAGGCTTAGCTAATTATAGTAAGCTATTAATATATAGCTATTAAAATAGGCTATTTAGTTAAGGGTTTAATTATTTAATAAATAAAACTTAAAGTAGCTATAGTTAATAATAATAATAAGGTTATTAATTTATTAATTAATAAACTATATTAGTAATTAAAGGTTAAGTATATATAAGATTGTTAAGTAATATATAATAGCTATATTATATAAGGTTATTATATTATTAACTTATAATTTCTAAATTAATTATAGCCTAAGATAAAATTAAACTATTAAGAGATTAGCTATTTATATTATAACTTTCTTAATTATATTAATAAAAAGTTTAATAAGATATAAAAGTATATTATTAATAAAATAAGTAATAGATATAATATTACTAATTAAGTAAGAAAAAGATAATATTTTAAAAGGTATAATAATATTAAAAGTAAGGTATATCTTTTATCTCTCTATTTTTATTTTAATTCTCTTATTACTTTTTACTTAGGTTTTTATATACTCTTATTATTTATTAAGCTTTTCTTTATTTAATATAAGGAAAGAGTAATATAAGGGAAATAATTTAAAACCAGGTTAAAGCGTATTAATATATATAGTAAATAGGTAAAGTACTAGGTAGAAATAATTAATAAGGAGTTAATAATGCCTAAGGTAGGAATAGGAGTATTATTTATAAATATATAAGAATTAATACTAAACTAAAGTAAATACTTAAGGAAAGAGTAAAGTAGAAGGTATAGTAGTAGTATAATAGTATATATTAAATTATTAAACTTAAAAAAAATAAGATATAAAGTAAGTTACTAATTACTATACTCCTTATAAGCAGAGGTAAGAGTATCTTTTTTTTTTAGTATTTATAGAAGATAAAAATAGCCTAGGAGGCCTAGTTAGTATTATAGTATGCTATTTATCTTGCTTATATAAGACTTAGTTATAAGGGCTTAAGGGCTTAGTATTAACTGCATAGAATAGAAGAGTAATGCTAACTTAAACAGGGAGGAGAGGCAATAAGACATATATCTAGTAGTAATTAGCATTAATATAGCTATTAGTAATAAATTTATTATATATATAGAGAACATCTAGGCCTAGGGCTTATTAAAGAGAGTCTTCTTTAATAAGTATTATATTCTTAGTATTAATATTAGCTATTAAAAGTGGCTTAAATTACTAATTAAGATATATTAATTTAGGTGCCTGCTAGTAATACTAATAGTAATATTACTAGTGTTAATAAAGGGCTAGTTTTAAGAGTAAACACTAGTATAAGATATAATAATTATCTAGGTATTAATAAGGTAAGTTAATATCTAATATAGTATTAATAGTATATACCTAGGTAAGAAGATAGCGATAAAGGATAGGGTAATAGTAGTAATTAAGAAGATAGAGGGCTAGATATAGGCATCTTAATAAGGTATAATATATTATTACTTAATTACTTAATATAAGGTAATAGCAATATAGATTAGTTATAGATTATATTATAACAAGCTTATATAAGAGTAATAGGCTTATATATTATAAGACTAAATTAATAGCCAGGAGGGGCAGCATTAAATAATAGTAATAATAAGACTATAGATATACGTAAATATTTATAGAATTATTACTATTATTTATGCTAGCCTGCTATTTAAATTAGTTAACTTTATATACCAGATAGGCAGGTGCAGCTAGCAGGAAGGGGAGGTAATAGACTTAGTAATTCTTATAAATAAGAAGCCGGGATAGTGCAGTAAGTTTGGCAGCAATATTAATTAGATAAACCAAGAGGGTGCTAAGTTGCTTATAATAACTATAAGGTACTGATATCTAGTACTTAGCTGCTTCTTTAATAGAGATGAGATTTGCTGCAATTATCTGCAAGCCGAGTATAATAGGTGCTTAAGGGATAAGAGCAGGATAGGAAGAGGAGGAAGAGAAGAAGAAGAGGAGGAGAAGGAGGAAGCGTTTTAGGTACTAGTTAATTAGCTTAAGGAAAATACATAATATATAAGTAAATAGATAAAGAAACTATATAAATAGCTAAATTAGGTATATAATATAGGCTATTTAATTTACTATATTATATAGTATATAAATAAAGTAAGGATAAAAAATAAAAAGAAGCTAGATTATTATAAAGGTAGCTTTAAGATATTATAACAAAAGGATTTTAATTAGTAATAAGTAAGTATATATTTTACAAATTACTTAAATTATTAAGAATGCAATTTGCTATATAATAAATATAAGGTAGAGAGAATAAAGGGGGGGTAATATAGTTATTATAATATAATATTACTAGTAATAATATTAATAAGAGTTAGTAATATAATATAAGAGGTAATAAAGAAAAGGTTTAAAGTAGATTATATAAAGGAGCTAGAGTATAGTAATTAAGGTAAATAAATAAGGTAGCTATATAAAAGATAGATAATAAATAGATTAGCTATTTAAGATAAGGTAATTTAGATAATTATAAGAAAGGAAGGGGAATATTAAGTAAAGTAATAAAGTTAAAATATTAATTAAGAATATTATATAAATTAAAAGTAAAATTAGTTATAAAGAAAAAGAGTTAATATAAATATAAAATAATAAAGTCTTTTAGAAATATAATAAAAAGATAATAGATATAAGGTACTTTAGCTACTATAGGGTAGGGTTAAAAGAAAAGTATTTAGAAAGGTACATAAAAGAGAAATAAGGTAAATATAAATTAATTTAAAATAAGATAACTTATAAGTTATAGAAAATTAAAAGTCAAATAATATAAAGTAAGTAATACAAGATATAAGTTAATTTTAAAGTAAAAGAAATAAAATAAGCCATAAGGGATAAGATTAATATATAAGAAAAAAAGATAAGTATAAGAAATAATTAAATAATATAATATAAAAGAAGTAATAAAACGGTAAGCTAATATAATATAAAAACTATATATATATATATATTTAAACAGAAGAAATATTAATATAATAATATTATATAATAAAAAAGAATTAGAAGATAAAAGATATAAGAGAATTAAGAATCTTTATAAGATTATAATATAAAAACAAAGACTATAAATAGAAATAATAAATAATTATAAGTTATATTATATATTAGTATTAATAAGAAAAGAAAATAGTATTATAAATAATAAGAACTAGAAGAAATAAGGTTAAAATAAAAGAAAAAGTAAGAAAGAGATATAAAGAGTATAAGTAAAGGGTAAAAGAGTAATAAGAGGTTTATATATTATATAATAAAATAATAGTAATTGTTTAAAGAATATAAGATAAATAGCAAAAAATAACAGAGAAAAGATAGAAATAGAAATAAAAGGGCTAGTTTAAGGTAAGAGTATAAAGAATTATAATAATATAAAGTAAGATAGCTAAAATAGAATAAGGAATATAAGTAAGAGTATAGAGAAAATATAAAGAGAAGATATAGGGGTAGAAATATAAATAAAAAGGGCTATAAATAAAAGGGGAAAAGAATATATAAGAAAGAGAAGTTAAGAAAATAGCTAAGAAATAGGAAAAGTAATATAATAATATAATATATTAAGAAAGAGTGAGATAAAAAGAATAGATAAATAATACATAGTTAATAATTAAAAAGAAAAAAAAAGAAAAAAATACTTAAAAAGAAAATATATAAAATTAAAAAGAAAAGTAAAAATAAAAATAAATAAGTAAAATTAAAAGAAAGGTAAGAAAGAAAAAGGAAAGGTTAGGGTTATAGAAAAGATAAAGGGTAAGGGTTATAAGGGAAGGTAAGAGTTAAGGGGATAGGTAAGGGTTAAGAAGTAAATTACTTAGAGGAAAAAAGATATAATATAAGAGGTAAAGTATATAAGATAGTATTATAGTTATTTAAAGAAATATAAGAAAGTCTAAAAGAGATATTAATAAGGTTAAATAGTATAAGTAATACTAATTATAATAAAGGTAGTAATAGAAGTTATAAGTAAAAAGGGAGGTAACCTATAGTAAAGGGGAAATAAAGATAATAATACTTAATAGCATCCCCTATATTATTTAGTAACTAATAAATGAATTTTAGTAAGAAATAAATAAATATTACTATAATATAAGGCAGCTAATAAATTAAATTTAAAATAACTAATAAACTCTAGTTTACTTATAATAAATAATATAATTTATATAAAAACTTATAACTTTATAAGTTCTTATTATAAAATAATAATAAAATGCTTTTTTTATTAAATAAATATTTAAAATATAATTAATTATTCTTAATACTAGATTTAATATTTTTTAGTTAGTAAGGGTAGCCTATATATAGCACCTAATTAGGAGCTTACCCTAACTGCTATATAGAGATATAGTAGTTATACTTATATTAGCTATTATTAATAAAAGAAAAGTAAGTTTACCTAAGAAGTAGGTAAAGGGGGTTTAATAAGGTTGGAAAAAAGATAATATTTAATTTATTCTTACGTATATTACTGTTAATACTCCTATTAATTATTAAGTTAGTATAATAGAATATTTTAATTATATAAATAACCTACGCCTTCTATACTATAGGTTATATAAATATATAGTTATATATTAAAGAATCTAGGCCCATCTTTGCAGAAAACCACATAGGCTTATAAAGAACGAGATTGATAAAGTCAAGTTATAGGCCGAAGTACTCAACCTAGTACTGCAAGCTCGGCTCCGGCTGGAGGCGATGCCGCTAACTCCGCTGGCAGAGTCGCGACGATTGCCGGCATATAATAACGTGGTCGACGTATGGTGCAGCTTCTGGCAGTAATACAGCAGCAGATCGCGGCAGGCAAAGTATTATATATATTTAAGATACTCGAAGGGCTTCTCTTTTATATAGTAGTACTTGTGTTAATAGAGATGTTCTAATTAGGCGAAGGGGCGCTGGCAGGTGCTGCATATATATAGGCAAGTCTTATCTATCTTAAAAAGTGAAAAAACAGGCTAATGCGTGGGTATTACTAGTGATTATGGACTCTAGAATGGTCAGTTTATAATATGCAGTATTGGGAGGGAGAATCGGCAGGCGGTTGCATGCCAGACTGAGGAATATGAAGAGCAGTCCCGGCGACGGGAGGAGTGCTCACCAGAGACGGCTGTGTTGCTGGAAGGGGAATCGGACATGGTTGCTGAAAAGCGGGAGATCCTGACGCTAGAGTCGGTCAATCACTCGCTGATGGTCGCTCGGGAGGCGGGAGGGTCGGAGGCGGCGAATGAGCGACATCAAGTTAGATGATGGAGAGAAGAACTGGCTTTATATATTGATGGGTGTAAGGATAGCGTGAGGGAACGAGCAACAAACAGCACCTGCCAAAACGCATCTTGAAGGCAGTGTGATATCGTTGTCTCAGCGACATCCTAGGGGCACAGCCGCGACAGCACTCGCTATAAAATTTCCAGCAGCACCGGCATGGAGTGGATGCATTCTGATGATAAAATTCGCCAGTAGTGACGTCATTGCCGAGTGGGCGAATGATAAAACAAAATGGGTTGATTGTGTTGTTGATAGTTCTAAGTTACATATCCGAGAGGAGCACAGCTCCTTACATAGTATCCACATCCCAGTCACCAGCAGATCGGACCACCTTAGTCACACGGTCTCAACAGCGAAGACGACAGCCGCTCTCCTCATCATTTTGCGTTATATGGACGGTGCTCTCAGACACCGCAACTAAGTGCTCCTGAAGCAAGTATCTTTTAGTGCACAGTACCCTGAAATTATTGCCAAGCCCTGCCGAGACTTTCTGCTCAGACTTTTTTGGTCAAATGTAAAGGAAGCGCAATCTTCTATAGCATCGTCTCGGGGCAGTGTTAGCAACGATGACAACCTGACCTGCCGATGGAATGCCTGCAACCAAAAGGTCACCTCACCAGAATCTCTATCACATAGAATACGTCGCTAATACAACCCATGAGCATATCTGTGAGCGTCATGTTGGCCGCAAGAGCACCAACAACCTCAGCCTCACTTGCCATTGGAACTCATGTTATACTACTACGGTCAAGCGAGACCACCTCACTCCTCATATTCGTGTTTATGTGCCTCTCAAGCCTCACAAATGTGAGTTCTGTGGCAAGTCCTTCAAGCATCCCTAGGATCTAAAGAAGCACGCTAAGGTAAGAAATCTCATTTTGGTCTTGTAATCCAGAAGTGCGACTGATTATCGATCCCAGACTCATGCCGACGACTCGGTTCTTGTACGACCAGCTCAAAATCAGGGCGGTCTCAATCACAGGCCTCAGCCTCCCGAGGGTATGTTTTAGCTCCGTTGTTCTGTAGGGAGCCATTGTAACCTTCTTACGTTATACTCTTCGAGGTTAATTTGCGTCTAGGTACTTTCAGCTATTATAACCATAATGACCAGGTGCGAAATAACGACGCCGCTTTCGCCCACCAGGCATGTCATGTTAGCAGCTACTATGCTCCCCAGCCCTCTACCAACTATGGTCTCTACTTCGACGGGCATCTAGTGAACGACACCCATACTGAGCATCTAGATTACAACGCAGTAGTTGCCGGTGGTTGTGGCCGTAAGCGCACCTACGACGTGGTCGATGACTTCTTCAGAAATGCCAAGCGCCGACAGATTGACCCTTCCTCTTATTCTCAGATGGGCCGCTCTCTCATGCCTCTCCACGGATCCGTCTCTATCTCCAGCTGCCCTATGCCTGCTCCTGGGCATTATATGCCCTAGCCAACTCCTGTCGCCGTGCATAGCGGCCCCTCTCCTGGCCAGAACCCTTCTGTCCAATAGTACTATCTGCCTATGCCCAACGCACCCAGAAGGACCTGATCTACATCAGCAACATCCTGAGCCAGATGCAGGATACCATCTATGAGAATGTCAACCACGCCACTGCGGGCGTTCACATTCATCATAACGCTGGTGGTTTTACCCGTTATCGCAACACCCACTCGCCTCCTGCATCGCATCGCTCGCCTGGTGGCCTTTCTATGGGCGATGAGGCCCACCACGCCGTGTCTGCTGCTAGCATGGCGTCACCCCTGGTAGCCATCTTTTCAACCGGCGCCCCTGCAGCCAACCGCCCTCTAGCTCCATGTCATACACCTTGAGTCACTCTCTTAATCCTTCATCCTCTGCCATATCTCCCCAGGCTCGCCATGGCTCCACGGCCTCGGTCATGTACCTTACCCCTCCTACTAGCCTCTCTACCATTAGCCAAGGTTTTGGTCACTCTGCTACTACCGCCCTGGACCCAGCCTTGAGAGCAACGAGCGCCGCCGCTACTCAGGTGGTATGCTCCAGCGGGCTCGAGGAGGCCCCCTTCCTCTGCCCTGGCAGGACAGCAACAATAGCGGCGCTGGTACACTGGATTAGGAAAAAAGAAAAACAGAAGAAACAATACTTGGGCCATGGTTGCGAGATAGACTGGGATGGTCCGGCCGGCAAGATTTTCTTCAATCGCCAGTATGAGAGTACTTGGGGCTCTTGAGGATTTTATGTATGCAAAACTCAGGCTCTTTTCTAAATGCCTTTTTTTCTCTTTCTTGTCGCACATCTACTGGCTTCACTTTTCCTAAAGGGCTGTGTGTTCCATAATTAGACATTATGTTGTGTTTCGTACTTATGTTAACATATATAATAAGCAGGCGGGACACAATTCTCAACCTTAAAGATAGAAATTACAATAAAAACACAATAGGCTATCTGATTAATTAAAGTCAGGTATTATACTCTTTTCCAGAGGCCTTGATACCTTCCTAATATGTCTTTGCATCATGTCCGGTCTTGCCGCATCTTCCACAGCCCCTTTCCCTCAGTCGCGCCGAGCTTCCTTAACTACTAATTCTCCATAATTCTGCCACTACCTGCATATCAATATCCCTCTAATTAATCAGTTCCCTACCTGCCTTAAGTTATAACCCCTCTTTTCTATAGGCAAGTTCTTTTTGCCCTATGCCGCCGGCTTAATATCTCATTTACCTATTAAATATAACGGAATAGGTTTCAAACAGGTAAACTAGTCCATATTAAGTTTAATGTTTACAGAGTCATAAGGCGTTATATTAAGCAGTTATAAAGTATTACATCTCTTAATAGTAAATAGAGCAGGTTAGGCATATTTAGGTAAAGAAGTCTTATTAATAGCTAGTAAGCTAAGTTTTATAAAGTGCTAATAAATATAATCTATATACTAGAGGTATCCTTAAATAATTAGTAAGGTTATTAAGGGATTAGTAGTAATTTAAGTAAATTAGTATTAATTATAAACTCTTAGTACTAATTATCTTTAGTAGGGATTATAGTAATTAGAGGAAAATATAGGGTATATATAATAAAACTGCTAGGGTTATAATATAATCTCTCCCCTTTTTTAGGCCTTATTCTTAAGGCCTAATTAATATATTTTTCTATTAGTTATTCTCTATAAGTATAATCTTAATCTTATAATCCCTTAAGATATCTAATTATATATTTAAGATTAAGAAAACTTTTATTAAAAATTATAATTCTCTCTATATCTTTATTATAGTATTTAGGAATCTTATTATGCCTTATTTTAACTATATCTATTAAAAAATAGAGGATTCTTATATTCTTAATTTTATAAAGTTAAATTACTATAACCCTTATATTAAGTTAGAAATATCTTATAATAGTTATAATCTCTTTATAGCAGTAAGTATATTTTCTTTTATATAAAATTATTTTATAGATTCTGCTAATATAATATTAGTTAAAAAGATTATTAATAAAAAGCATTATTTAGAGCATAAGGAAGAGGCTATTAAGGATAAACTAATTAGTCTTTAAGTAAAGTTTACTTATATTTATAATGCTATAAATACTTAATTTACTAAAATTACTTATTTAAGGCATTAGTATTATTAAGTAGGGCTTAGATATAATTTAATATAGTTTTAGTTTTATAGATAAACTAGAAAAGGCAGAGTATAATAAGTAAGCTGCTTTAAAAGGTATTATAATTAATAAGTCTTTTTAAGACTAATTTACTATTACTAAATAGTCTAAGTAGGACTTATTAAGTCTTAATACTTTCTTTAATTTTTCTAGTTTTAGTAAAAGTTCTTTAGGAGTTATTAGGCATTAGTAAGGTATTTTATTAGTTTTTATATATTTTTGCTTTTTAGGTAGTCTTTCTATTTAACTAGGTATATCTTCTGCCTGTTAATTTTCTATATTTTTCTAATTGCTTTTACTTTATAGACTTTTAGTTCTTTAATTTCTTTTAGTTTATTACTAGTTTTAACTTATATTATATTAACTATTAATTTAAGTAATAAAATATAAAAGATTAAATAAAGCCTAACTTTTAGTAATAGGTTTAGTTTATAATTATTTTTTAAGATTTTTCTTTTTATCTTATATAGCTTAATATACTTATAATCCAACTTATAGCTTAGTTGTTTTATTATAATGTTTTTTATAGCTAGGTAGATTATATTTCCCTTTAAGAAGGTTAGTCTTTTAATCCTTTTTATATTATAGTATTTTTTTATTTGTTTTTTAATAAATTTTAATTTTTTCTTTAATTCCTTATATAGAGCTTTTAGGTTTTTGCTCTTAATTATAGCGGCTAGGTTAACTGTTTTTGGTTCTTGTGTTATGTGGTATAGGTCTAGGGTAAATCTAAAGTTTACTGCTAAAGGTGTTATTTCTATGCTTTTATTATATACTATATTATAGGCAAGTTAGGCGCTTAGTAACTTTTTTACTTAATCGTTTTATTTATAGTTAATATAGTATTATAGGTATTATTTTAATACTTAATTTATTTATTTAGTTTATTTATCTATTTATAGTCTAAATGCTATTAAGAGTTAGTAGTTTAGTCTTATATATAATATTAATACCTACTAAAATTTACTTATAAATATAGTTCCTCTATTTATTAAGATTTTATAAGGTAATTTATATTTTCTAATTATCTTATTATAAAAGATATAAGAAAGTTACTTTATATCTATATCTTCCCTATAGGGTATATAGTAAGAAAATTTAATAAGTTAATTTACTATAACTAAAATACTATTATAAAAGATTCTAGTTAAGGGTTCCTCTAATAAAGGTAGCTTAATTATATAGTCTATTATAATTAAGCTCTATAATCTTTTTACTACTTTTAGTAGTTATAGTAGGCTATAAGGTTTATATTATTATACTTTAGTTTTTATATATAAGTTATATTGTTTAATAACCTTTTTTACTGTTTTTCTAATTCCTTCCTAATTATAATATATTTAGATACGTTTTAGGGTTTTCTTAATGCCTTAGTGGCTATATAGGGGATATTTATATATATCTTATACTAGTTCTTCCCTAAACTGTTTAGGTACCTATAGTTTGTTATTATAGGTAGGCATTTTAGCTCTACTTCTAATAGGATCTTAAAGGTTATATCTTATAGTATTGTTTTAGATTTTATTTATTTATTTTTCCTAATTTATAAGTTTATAGTTATTTATAAGTCCTAGGGTTTCTGCTTATTATATAAATTAGTATTTTCCTTTATTATTCTTTTTTAAGAGTTATTTTTTTACTTTTATTATATTAGTATTATAATCTAGGCATTAACTAATAGCATTAGCTTATTTATTATCTAAACCCTTATAATAAATAATTATAAAGTTAAATTTATATAGGTATTTAGTATAATATAATTATTATTAGTTAAGTTCTTATATTATAATAAAGTATAAAATATTTTAGTAGTTAGTATAGACTTTAATTTAATATATACTTCTTATAAGGTAGTATTTAAACTCCTTAAAGTAGTTAATAATTACTAGGAATTCTTTATTATAAATAAGGTAATTTAATTCTGCCTTATGTAATTTATAGGAATAAAATATAATTAGGTAAAGCTTTCTTTTTTTATCTTATTATCTAATTTATCCTCTTAAAGTAAAATCTAATAAATTAGTCTTTAGTTTTATTTCCTTATTAAAGTTAAATATAATTAATATAGATTTACTAAGGATGGCTTATTATAGTGCTTTAAATACTACTTATATATCTTGTTTTTATATAAATTTCCTATCTTTCTTTATAAGTTCTATAAGTAGGTTTATAATTTTACTAAAGTCTTTAATAAATCTTTAGTAATAGTTAGTAAATCTTAAGAAGCTTTAAACTTCTTTAACTATTATTAATAAAGGCTAATTTATTACTATGAAGATTTTCTTTTATTTTATTTTAATTTTACTAGGTATAATAGTATATCTTAAGAAGTTTACTTTTTTTATATAGAAGTAGCTCTTTTCTAATTTAACTAATAAATTAGCATCTTATAGGGCTTTTAAAACCTTATAGATATATTCTTTATATTCTTTTTTATTATTTAAGAAGATTAGGATATTATCTAGGTAATATATTATAAAGATATTTAAGTACTATTAAAGTATATTATTAATTATTTACTAAAATATTATAGGTATATTAATAAGTCTAAATAGTATTATTAAATACTTAAAGAGTTTAAATTTAGTTTTAAATACTATCTTTTATTTATCTCCTTTTTTAATATAAATTAAGTTATAAGCTCCCTTAAGGTCTAGAGTAGTAAAGATTTATTTACCTTATAGGCAGTCTTTAAGTTTTATAATAAGTAGAAGTAAGGTCTTATCCTTAATTATAAAGGCATTTAACCTCTTATAATCTATAATAAGTTATAGTTTTTTATTTTTCTTTAAAATAAATATTACTAGAAATCCTACTAATAAGTTAGATATCTTAATATTCCCTTTTATTAATTCTATATCTAAGTATTCTCTTAAGGTAATAAGTTCCTTTTTATTAAAGTTATAAATTTTCTAAAATAGTAAATTATCTATTTTAAGCTATATTTCGTAGTCTTAGCGGCTATGCTATAGTACCTTTGTTTTAAGTTCTTCTTTAAATAATTTCTTATAAATATAATATTCTTTTAGAATGTTTTTAAGTCTATCTTATTATTCCTTTTTCTTAAGTTCTTTTTAGTATTTTAATTATTTATCTAGGTTATATAATTAGGTTTTAAGAAAACTTAAGATTTAATAATTTTATAATTTCTTACCTTTTATATATTTATATTATACTCCTATTAAAGGTAGTAAATTCTTTACTTTATACTTACCTATACTATCCTCTTTAATTAGGGTTTAAAATCTCTTATTATTTATTATAATTGTTTTATTATTACTATTAGTATTACTAGAAAAGGTAACTTAGCTAGTCCTCTAGTTAATATATAGGTTCTTTTTTTATAGCTAATTTATATTAAGGAGGATATTTACTTCCTTATTTAAGGGGAGTATATTAAAGTCTATCCCTTAATTCTTTCCTTAAATAAAGATCTTAAAGTAATTAATCTCTTA